TAATTATTTGGACTTTAAAAAAAAAAAAATGTATATTAACCATTGGTCTACCATAGTAGCATACATTTAAATAATGATAATCACAGTTAAAACCACACACAGCATCTCAATGTGATGGTAAAAATATAACTATAAGGTTTTAGGTAGGAAAAACAGTGCTCTAAATACATTTAGTATAAATGTACAAACGATTAAAGTAGCTTAATCACAAAAAATATTGTAATTATATTCTGTTTCTCTAATACATTTAATACATGTCTACATTAATAATATAATACAATTTGATATGGATACCCACATTTCTGAGACAATACAATGGTGCAGTTAGTGTTACTGCAGTAAATATTTAGTAAATAATGGTGATTTGTAGTCTGAAAAGTATCATTGCACTCCCTGTTTCTTTTGTTTGTCAGCACTGTTTCATCTGGATTTAAACTAGTTAAAGTCACCGAGTCATTTGTGTTCTTCGCTGAATTCAAGCGCTTCACACTGGATCTCAAAGCGCTGGTTAGTGCTCACGTGACCGAGTTTTACCAGCGAGTAAACACATCTGCTCTGAGCTTGCGCTGCACTGCCGTTTGAACTTTGAGCGGAGCAGATAAATGGTTTAAATTTAAATGAGTAGTGTTGTGGTTTTTTTAAACGTTTTCTACTTTTGGTGCATAAACATTACATTGAACACTTATCGACCTCTTGTTATCATTTTATCGAGGAAAATTATATCATTATAATTGTCTCTATCGATTTATCGCCCAGCACTTCCCTCATGTCATTCCAAACTTGAATGACTGCCTTTCTTCTGCGGAATATAAAAGTACTTAGTGGTGTGTTTACTGCTCATGGTGCTCACAGGACATGGAGAAGGAGGTGAGCAGAGCTCTGAGAGGCGGCAGTCAAGATGAGGTTCTCAGCGAGGGCTTCCGCCTCACCATCACCAGAAAGGACCTGCAGACGCTCAACCACCTCAACTGGCTCAATGATGAGGTCAGGGCTTTATTACATCATTCAGGTCTCTGTATAAACCTTGAACAGTCTCTTCTTAATCATTTTGTGTCAGGCGTTGCCATAATTATCAGTTTGTCAATGACTTGAGGTCCAGACTGATATATTTCCTCCATTTCAGGTTATTAATTTCTACATGAACCTGCTGGTGGAGCGCAGTAAACAGCCCAACCTGCCCTCCGCTTACACCTTCAACACCTTCTTCTTTCCCAAGCTGCGGAGCTCCGGTTACAATGCTGTCCGCCGCTGGACCAAGAAAGTGGACATCTTTTCTGTAGACATCATATTGGTGCCTGTCCACTTGGGGGTGCACTGGTGCCTGTCTGTAAGTAGCTAACCAGCACCAAGGTCACATTGAGGACAAAAACATGGAAGATGCATTGCTTTCTTTCCTGACATTTACAAGTAATTCAGAATAGTATTATAATCCATTTCAGTCAGTTTAATAAAGGAATGAATAATTCAAATAGATTTGCTCTTAAGTCAGAAGTAGCATCGTTTAAAATTGTTCTCACTACTTTTTCCTTTTGATAGGTGGTGGATTTTCGTAAGAAGAGCATCACTTACTTTGATTCAATGGGAGGAAACAATGATGAGGCCTGCAGGATATTATTGTAAGTGCTGCTTGAGGATTACATGATGAAACGGGTCTGCAAGAAGTGCCTTTTCCAAATGAGTCCCATGATAATCCATTAAGAAATAAACTAAATAAATTATGCATGATTAGACATTGTCAAAAGTCTCTTAATTCTGTCTCTATATAACAGAAAATATCTGAAACAAGAAAGTGAAGACAAGAAGGGGCGAAACTTTGATAACTCAAAATGGACTCTAAAAAGTAAAAGACCCAATGTGAGTTTTCCAACGTAAGCATTATATAGGGCTTAAATTGACCAAAAAAAGCTCCAGGGTCATCTCAAGGTTTTTGTCTTACAAATCCTTAGGAGATTCCTCAGCAAATGAATGGAAGTGATTGCGGAATGTTCACATGCAAATATGCGGAGTACATCACCAAAGACCGGCCAATCACATTCACACAGGTGAACATCAGTTGCGTAGATTTTGAAATATATTATTGGCTGGTCACACTTGCGTAAAAATTTTTCATTTGACCTTTTCTTTCATTTCTCAAACAGAAACACATGCCCTATTTCAGAAGACGAATGGTATGGGAGATTCTGAACCAGAAACTGTTGTGATTGGATGATTCTTTTGTATAAAACATATTTTGACATGTTGTATGGATATGAGGGCTTCTGTGCACTTCAGGAACCCGGAGACAAATGTGGGATGCCCTCAATCACCGGTCGTTTCTATGCTGTCTAAATGAAACTTGGGAAGTGTGACTGTCTCAGCCTTTAAGAGTCAGGGCAATGGTTTTATGCCCCTTTATAGTTCCCTATAACTTCACATGCTTTTGCTTTGTCAGCAAATGTTGTTTGACTGACTATGGAAGGATGTTATTTTCATATTTTCAGTCTTTTCTTGTGCTGCCATTCTTCTGCAGTAGCTGTCAATATAAGGCCTGTCTTAAGATGATTTCAAATGATCATTTGTGTTAATTGGCAGGGAGTGTGCTTGATCTCAAATCATCAGAAGTCATAAATGTTACAGTAATATGATGAGTGAGATTTACATTGATGTCTTTTCACTCTAGGACTAGTAAAATAGTTGGAACTGACAATCACAGACTCACTCAGTGGTTTTCTAATGAAAAACAGCAGTTTACGTAATATTTGTGATATTTGATAACTATGTTTTATACAGATGCTGTCAAAATAATTAACTATAAAATTTTAAGAAAGATGCTTTTGACTTCAGTATGTTTTGAGATGGAGTTCTGCCTTTACAGGCATATGTTTATTTTTTTTTATCAGTATTTGGTGGCTTTGTAATCACTTGGAGTCTTATGATCATTTCGGTCATCTCAGACAGGCTGCACTTAACATTTATTTGCTTTTTCACAACCCAGCAGTGTCATACATCTTGTTTTTCTGTTCTTACTTGAGGCTACTCTGTTCTTCCTTTTGTGTAAGAGAAAACTATTTTTGGCAACTGTTTCTAGGTTTTTTTTTTTCTTGCAGGATATTGACAATTATTGTATATACAGTGAGTATACGGTAAAGCTGAAGACATATTTAATACTAATTTTGTACCTTTTCTTATCTGTTTTTGTATGTGGAACAGATCTTACTGGAAGTAAGATCTTCCTGAGGTTATGTGTGTATCAGAGGATAAATGAAATCATTTAAAATGAATCCTTGTTTGAGTCATGTCTCTTAAGCTAACTTTGTCTTAAATGTGCTTTAGAAATTAAATTAAGTTATTTGTGTGGAAATTTCAGTTATGATTTATTTACATATGAAATTCTTTCTGATAAAATTGTAAACAATACCGTGTAGACTGATTCTAACCGATAACTATTTTGATCAAAAGTTCGAACCGACTCGTGCCTTGATTCGCTAAACAAGACTACATCTTCATTTGGGGGTTATGTATTTGGGTACATATGAATTTCTGTTTTTTATAAAGCTGTAAACAATGCAATGCAAAAATGACTTATTCAAACCGATAATTTAGTTTAAAGGGGTCATATGATGCTGCTAAAAAGAACATTATTTTGTGTATTTGGTGTGATGAAATGTGTTTGTGGTTTAAAGTAAAAAAAAAAAAAAATTTCCACATACTGTACATTATTGTTTTTCCTCTATGCCCCGCCTTTTTGAAAGGCGTCGATTTTTACAAAGCTCATCGGTCTGAAAAAGCGAGGTGTGCTGTGATTGGCTGAATACCTCAAGTGTGAGACGGAAATGTTACGCCCCTCACATACTGTTGATGCCCTGTCAGGCCGGAGCGACGAGACATAAACATTAAAACCCATTACAAACGAGGCATTTGTTGCATCCAGTGGGGACATAATTACAGATTATAATGACTTATACTGTCTTTTTACGCGTTGCGTTGCATCGCGCCGCGTAAACATAAAACCATGTCTGCATTTGTGATCGGAGAAATGACAAACAACAAGTGCTACTCTACACTGCTCAAAACTAGCGTTTGAATCATCAGTGGCAAATCTTTTAAATGAAAACGTACTTACAGACTGAGTCAGAACTGCTGGCATTTTAGTCTAACGTTACTCTACCAGGATCAGTAAACAGTCCTCCATAAAATGTGCTGCACACATCTGGATATTTGGGTTAAACTGTTCTGGAACAGTGTTGTAAATACAACTTAACCACTGATTTGTAGTCGTGTCCTCTTTTGGAAGATCAAACAAAGTAGTTTTGCTTTCACAACGAATCACACAGCGTCTTCACGACATGGCTGCAGCGTCAACAATATACTACAGCGAGAATAAAAGTTACGCCTTCTTTCTTTGCGTGAACATTTGGGCGGCATTATGCAAATCTTCCCACATAGTGAGGTAGATATGTGGGGGCGTGTTAGAACGAGTCGTTTTAGGTAGACGTGGTAAACTCTTTTATATTTCTGGATTTGAGACTTTAGTCTTTGCAACTTTACAGATCATCTTTATGCACCAAGAGCTAACACTCCAAAGAGAAAGGAAAAATTTAAATCGCATCATATGACCCCTTTAAACTCTTCCTTTAAAAGAACCGGCTCATAGGATTGCGCTGTATGTTTTTGATTCGTTCAATTGAACCACGTGAATCATTGGTGTTCTTGAATCGGACTAACGTTACACTGTTCGCGCGTGATACCCCACGCAACTCCAGAGAGCGACCTCGCCTTTCTCTTCGATGTTGTTTCAGTTTATCGCATTACAGCCTGCAAACTCATTCACAACTCAGGTAAATTATGATTAATTTACCGTGACGCTGAAGACCCAAAAAATGCTAAGTTATAATATGTTGCTGGACATTTCTTGTCTCAAAGTGTGAATATGGGAAACGTGATTCTGTTTTTAAAGAGACAGGGCTAATGAGACAGTATAATCCTTCTTTATCCGAATACTTTTTAGATTATAGTATTATATTTGATTTCATACATCACTGAACTATTTTCCTGTTCAGCAAATTTACATGTAGGCTACTTTTCAGCATGTTGGATTTATATTTATGCACAGAGCACAACACAAATAATCACTATTCCAGTCTCAGAATCTTTTACCTCAGAAGGAAGGAAACTGAGGGAGTGTTCCACTAATAAGGGAAGAACTCTCTTGGTTTTCATTATATTGCCATTTTTATATCTCAGGGGACACAGTCCAAAGAACACACGCCTCACTATTAAAGTTCACCAAGGCAAGAAAAATTAATTTACAGGCCTACATTACAACGTTGGAAGAGCACTCCTTACAATGTGTAAAAGGAAAGACATAATCCATATGTACGAAGAGGCAAGACAGAACTATTGACATGAAAACAAAGCCATAAAAAAAGTGTATCATCCAAATAGCTTCTCTGAAATTTTCTTTAAGAAATTCTTCAAATACAAAAATAAATCTCAACATTTAAACGAAGCATAACCTAACTTACAAGATAAAGCAGCATTTTGGAAGGGAAAAAAGGACATTTTTTTGTTGGGGGATATGAGGTCTTGGTTTCAGAATTCAGTCTCGTCTCGCTGGCACAAACTTGCTCAAAACAATGAGTGCATTTACAACGCTCTTCGATACGGCAAATTTTTCTGTAGATCTATCAAAACAACTTATCTGCTGGTTTCAGCAGGTTCCTCAGGATTTCCTAAAGTCGATATTCAAGAAAAATGCAGTAAGATCTTTGCAAAAACACTTTTTTTATGTACAAAATTCCTTTTGCAGCAGACAGTTCAAAAGCAGTCAACAAAATCTTTGAAGAATTTTACAAAAAGATTAAATCAAATTAAAATGACACATGGTGCTGTAACATCGTAGTTGTTTCATTCTGGCTTTGCAGAACGTTTTAGAAAATAAAGTTGCAGAAAAAAATATTTCTCAAAGTGTGTTGGAGTGTGTGTGTGTGTGTGTGTGTGTGTGTGCAAATGTGTGAGTCTTTGTGTTAAAAAAAGCTTACTTTGCATTTTGTGAACTTATATGACATGTTGTAGTCATAGCCTTCTCCATCCAAGTCTTTCACTTACTAAAATAGGTTTAGCTTCATTATCGGTTGGTCTTCTCCAAGAAAAAACATGTCTGCTTTCTTCCATTGGAAAGAGACGCGCTTCTCAGTTCCTTTTCACAATGTTCATTTGTTTTTATGTCAAGAGAGGTGGTTCAGTATCCTCCATCACTCCTATGAATGTACTAAAATAAGAGAAAGATATATATTAGAGTAGGAAAAGAAGCTTATACTGTAACGAGTTACTCATCCATCTAGTTCAGAAGAACTGATTTTCTAATTTCTTGGATACAGTAGATATGCCAATACAACATGAAAAAATGTTCTTTATGGATAGGTTGTTTTCACTATCTCTTTCCATTACAGACCACAACATTTCCAAAGCAACAGGAAGTAGCCCACCTCCTCTTCACTTGCCATGCTGGTAGGAGTATGTTGTGTGGTCTGTGGGTGTCTCTATGGCAACCTGCTGCTGTTGGATGCTATTTTCCTGCAGTGGCATGAGGTCAACATTACTGACAATACATCACAGTGAATCAGGCTTTGAAATACTTGGAATAATTCAGCACGCAAGGGTTTCGTACCTCGGCTGTAATGCTTGAAGGAGGCACTTGGGCATATTGTGGTATGTAGGTCCCTTGCATAGCTGTGTTTGCAGGCATATACTGAGGACAGATGGACACATGTTGACAAACGTGTGATATCCACAGATAGTACACATTGGACGGATGAACTTCTTGCTCATATGGTTATTGATCATTCTTGTAATTCCGTACATCGCAATTTCTATAAAAACTAGGGCAGCACGGTATTGTTAAAAATTGACAGGAATAATTTGTATTTCTGTGATATATATTGCACTATGAAAAAATATTGGAATTTTCAGCAGATGATTTAAATAGCTACATTTTGATTTTTGAATCAATCATTCTATAATGACTGGGATGATTTTGCTGGGGCTGCATAGAAAATAAAAATAATTTAAAAGCTGAAAATTTATTTTTAATTTGAGACTTAGGCTTATCCTTTTAGGCTGAACAATTTGGGGAAAACGTGAAAAATGTAATTAATTTAATGAATGTAGTGGGGAAAAAATCTCTTTCCACTGGAATTTTCATAATTCCTATTATCAGTGTTTTTGACTAATTTAATATGACCATAAAATATATATATTTTTAAAATCGCTAAAATATGATTTTTATTGTGATTATTATTTAAAATATAAAAAAAGAATAAATATATTGCAATAAAACTATTGTACTATAAACTGAAAAATGTATAAAAGTAATACAAATATTTTTTATAGTACACTGTAAAAATACAATACTAACATTTATGTCTCAATTTCTTCATTTTCAAACCTTAATCTGTCAAAATGTTTTTATTTGCACTGCATATTTTGCTATATTGATTTTATATTGTTATATCGTGCAGCCCTAAAACTAACACAAATATTAATAACGGAAACCAAACTGAAATTTTCATGACACTAAAACTACCTAAAATATAATTGCAATACAATTAAAATACAATTACACGTTTTTGATACATGGTAATATTATAAAACCTGTCACCAGAAATGTAATGCAGTTAAATATTTAAAATGATACCAGTTAGCATATAAATTCTGGTAGCCCCAAAATACTGAAACTAAAATAAAAATGCAATAACGTGAAATTAGAAAACAAAAAAAAATTAAAACTAAACTAAAATTAACAATGAAAACCAAAACTAAATAGAATAGACAAATAGAAAAAAGTCTAAATGAATTTACTGCCGGTCATAAAATATTAAGACCAATACATTATTTGTTTCAAGACATTTGTAAGGAGTTCTCTGTGGGATCTGTGGGGGACGTACCGTGCCTGTGCTGCCCAGGGTTAGATGGCTGAGCTGCTGTGTGAGAGGCCCTATTATGGCAGTGGGCTGGATGGTCATGGTGTGGTCCACTGTGGGCGTGAGGACGGTACCCTGCGCACAGAAAAGAAAGAAAGTTAGACAAGAAAAAGTGCTTTAGGAAAAAGAGCAGCGGTTTAACTGCAACTTACTGTGGGCTGCATGAGGTAAGACTGGTGATGTATCCAGGAGGGATTGTGTACCTGACATTAAAACGAGACACATTTTAAACTATATCATTCAGATCTATTTAGACCTAATAAGCTAGAAAGAATGTGAAGATTTTTCCATAAACAAGATCTTAAATTCCTCATATATAATAACTGAACTAATCTTCAAAAGAATTGAAATATTGAGCAGAAGTATAGCTCTTGCAAAACAAATCTCCATACCTGGTAGGTGGATACAGGTGAGTGCATGTAGGGAGAGATAGAAGTCTGAGCAATAATTCTGTTAGGAGCAATGCTGTAGGAAGGAGAGTAAAACCTGCAGGGGGCGACAAACACATTTTTTTTTTAAGAAAGCGCTGTTACCATGCAGTATCATAATTAAAAGCACAAAGTACAACATTTCTTGAGTAATAATTTCTGAACCCACCCATTTTGTAAAGCAGGAGTAGGGTCATATGTTAGCGTCATCCCGCCCTGTATGTGTGTAAGAACGAGAGAGTGACAGTTGAATTAAGACTTGTGGTTGAAATCAACATGAAAAAGTAGAAAAAAGCAGCTCACAGTCTCGCCCTCTCTCGGCCACTGCCGCCCATTCTGGTGATATTTCCCCTGATTCTGACGTTTTTGAACACACACCCGGAGCAGTGGGCAGCCATTTATGCTGCGGCGCCCGGGGAGCAGTTGGGGGTTCAGTGCCTTGCTCAAGGGCACCTCAGTCGTGGTATTGAAGGTGGGAGAGAGCGCTGTACATTCACTCCCCCCACCTACAATCCCTGCCGGTACGAGACTCGAACCCACAACCTTTGGGTTATGAGTCCGACTCTCTAACCATTAGGCCACGACTTCCCCATGTGTGTAAGATTTTTTTTTTAACTTTTAACTTCTGTGCTGCATTTATACAATGCAGTGTCATTGCTGCAAAAGACACGAGTAAGCGGAATGCCCAAGCATGTCCGTCAAGCTCAAGTTTACACAGAAAACAATAGAAAAGCTGTTGAGTTGAATGAAAAAATTCACTTTGTGTGAAGTGAACAGTCCCTTATGGTGTTTTTTTTGTAATTTTGGAGCTTGACTGCATCAGTCCTCATTCACTTTCACTGCTTCTAGGTGAATAAGCCTCTGGTTTGTGTTATTGACATAATTCCTGTAGGAGGATATCTGCAAGGTGCCCTGCTTTGTTCCTGAAGGACTGATCAGCCTTACAGGCTCAATAAGGTTAGGATTATGGGTAGTTGAGGTTAGGGCCTCATCAACCTTGTCAGGCCCAAATCAAAGCACCATCAAACACTGAGCGCTTTACGGAGAGTTATGTCACATCTTTTCCATGTCCCTTCACGGTTTTGTGGTAATCGACATAATGCCACATGCCACAAATACTGCATACAGATATTAAGTTTGGAATGTCCTTGATATTCTAGTAATGATACATTCCAGCTTTAAAATGTATTGGAAATTAAAAGGAAAATAGAAATGACTGTGAAGGAGTTCAGAAGTTTACAGGTAGGACAAACTGCTGAACCAGCAGCCTTGTGCGTTGATGCACTTGTGTGAGATTGGAGAGATAAGACTGGTTCAGCTTCTGCCACGACTTCAACTATGAGATATGGAGCTTGTTGGAAGTTTTCTCTTTTCCAAAAAAAAAAGAAGAAAAAAAAGAAACCAAAATAGAAAAATACACACTGGCAGCCAAAAGTTTGGAATAATTAAGATTTTTTAATGTTTTTGAAAGAAGCCTCTTATGCTTACTAAGGCTGCAATTATTTGTCCAAAAATATAGTAAAACAGTAATATTGTGAAATATTATTACGATTTAAATAACTATTTTCTGTGTCAATTTCTATGTCAATTTATTCCTGTGATGGCAAAGCTAAATATCCAGCAGTCATTACTCCTGTCTTCAGAGTCAGAAAAACAGCTGATAAAAAAACTGCTGATTAATATTTTTGTGGAAACTGATAAATTTTTTCCAGATTCTTTGATAAGAATGATTTCATGTATCCTTGCTAAATTAAAGTATAGTTTTTTTATTGTACTTACCCCAGACTTTTCAATGGTAGTATATCCACTAAAATATTTAGTGGTTTCCCTCAGATTTTAAGCAGTACAACTGTTTTCAACATTGATAATAATAAGAAATGTTTCTTGAGTACCAAATCAGCATATCAGAATGATTTCTGAAGGATCATGTGACAATGAGGACTGGAGTTTTTTTCATCACAGGAATAACTTGCATTTCAAAGTATATTAAAATAGGAAACAGTTACTTTAAATTGTAATAATATTTAATTGTATTACTGTTTTTACATCATTTTTGAATAAATGCAGCTTTGGTGAGTATAAGAGACTTCTCTCAAAACATTAACAACTCTTAAATTATTCCCAGCTTTTGGCCACCAGCATAAATAGAAGCAAATTTTTTGCCATATTTGTCTCTTACCTTTGCTTAATTATGCTGGAGTTTTAAACATCAACATGTTTTTTTAGTAAAAAGTGTCAAAATGACCGTTTTCAAGACCAGTACTGAGTCAGCTCATTACCATATAAACACCTAATTAGCTTAATTTGAAGCTGCAGGCATGACAGCAAATATGCATACAGTACAAAGTGACACCTTTCTAACCTCAAATGAACAGATACACAAACCTGTGCTTGCATGTCTTCTACAGATTACCCACTTCCTGCATAAGACGTGAGCAGGAGGTTTTATCTTAGAATCTCAAAACCCCTTAATCATATTATACGGCTCAAATTAATTTAGTTCATTATCATTGAAGCAAGAGTTGTGTGTTAACTTGTCTAAATAAATCAGAAAGACCGTAAAGATGCTGCAAGACAGCAAACCTCCAATTCACCCGCTGCTGATTTGCATATTCATTGCTTTGGTGTGCAGATGAGATTAAAATGTGAGCTGTAAATTCATTACCAGTTCATCTCACCACCATGAATAATGAATGTTTAATTGCAGTGACCTGCGATGAAGGTGATTTTTGTACTGATCTAATCACGCCGTGAGACGCTGCATTTTTCCACAGAGTGAATTGGAGGAGGAAAATCCACGGCAATTGCCTCAACAGACTCTTAAATAGGTCAGAACGCTAAAAGACTCTAAAACGGCTGTAATTAAGACGGGTGCTTCGTGATGTTCTTGTGTGAAGAGGTTGCCCTTTCATGCTGATCTACAGATTAAATAGGTGAATCTCACAAAATCTTTCAAGAATATGTTCAGGTCACATTTACTGCAAAATTAAAGAGAAAAATGGAAAAGAAATTGAATCCTGTTTTTTGTTGCACTTTTGTATTGTGACATTATTTTTTAGCACAATTAAGCACACCCATTACTCATTTCTCATTACCGCAATGCAAAAAACATCAATGCTATTACTGTAATTCAAAGAAATTAATAACATGCTTATTTTTTGTAGTCCCTTAATGATTTAAATACAAAACTGTATCAAAAATACTGTATTGCAGTAATGCCAAGCTAATGAAAATTTCTATATATACAGTGCCTTGCAAAAGTATTCATTTTTTTCACGTTTTGTTATGTTCCTGCCTTGTTAAATGGCTTTAAATTACTTTTTTTCCCCCCCACATCAATCTACACTCCATACACCATACTGACAAAGCAAAAACAGAATTCTCACAACTTCGTAAATGTATTAAATAAAAAAAAAATGAAATAAGTACATTGCATAAATATTCATACCCTTAACTAAATATTTAGCTGAAGCACCTTTACAGTCTCAAGTCTTTTTTTGTTTAATTCGACAAGCTTTGATCATCAGCATTTAGCAATTATCTGTCATTCTTCTCCTCGCCTCTTCACCTCTCAGGCTCTGTCATGTTGGATAGGGGCAGATGCATATTTTCAGGTTTCTCCAGAAATATTTGATTGGGTTCAAGACCAGGCTCTTATATTTAGCTGAAGCACCTTTACAGTCTCAAGTCTTTTTTTGTTTAATTCGACAAGCTTTGATCATCAGCATTTAGCAATTATCTGTCATTCTTCTCCTCGCCTCTTCACCTCTCAGGCTCTGTCATGTTGGATAGGGGCAGATGCATACAGATGATGAGAAGAGCTGGTTTCCTTCAAACATGATGCTTGGAAATGAGTTTCATCAGACCAGAGAATCTTGTTTCTCAGAGTCTGAGGGTCCTGTAGGTAATTTTTTGCAACTTCCAAGTGTGTTTTCATGTGTCTTCATTGAAGAGAGGATTGAGTCTGGCCACACCGACATAAAGCCCAGATCGGTGGAGTGTTGCAGTGATGTTTGTCCTTCTGTAGGTTTCTCCTGTCTCCACATATGATCATGGAGCTCAACTAGAGTGACCATCAGGTTCTTGGTCACCACTCTAACCAAAGCCCTTCTCCATCAATTGCTCAGTTTGGCCAGGAGGCCAGCTCTAGGAAGAGTCCTGGTTGTTTCAAACTTCTCCCATTAAGGGTAACAGAGACTACATGCTTCTGTGAACCTTAAATTTTTTTTCTGAAATCTTCCCCAGATGTGTGGCTTGACACAAACCTGTTTCTGAGCTCTACAGGCAGTTCTTTTGACCTCAGGGCTTGGTTTTTGCTCTGATATGCATTTTCAGCTGTTAGACCTTTTATTAAGACATGTGTGCCTTTCCAGATCATACCCATTTACAGGTGCATCTCAATAAATTAGAATGTCATGGAAAAGTTAATTTATTTCAGTAATTCAACTCAAATTGTGACACTTGTGTATTAAATAAATTCAATGCACACAGACTGAAGGTGTCAATGATTGTCTTCTGGACAACTGTTAGATCAGCAGTCTTCCCCATGATTGTGTAGCCTAGTGAACCAAACTGAGAGACCATTTTGAAGGCTGAGGAAACCTTTGCAGGTGTTTTGAGTTGATTAGCTGATTAGCAGTCTGTGTGCATTGAATTTATTTAATACACGTGTTTCACAATTTGAGTTGAATTACTGAAATAAATGAACTTTTCCACGACATTCTAATTTATTGAGATGCACCTGTAATTGAATTTCCCACAGGTTAACTTCACTTGAAGTGTAGTAACATCTACAAACAATACGAATGCTCCTGAGCTAAATTTCAACTGTCCTTCTGTCCAACTGAATAATTTAAGTTCTTTATTTTTAATAAATTTGCAAAGATGTTAATAACCTGTTTTTTACTTTACGATTATGGTGTATGGAGTGTAGAATGAAAAAGTAATTTAAAGCAGTTTAACATAAGGCAGCAACATAACAAAACCTGAAAAAAAATGAATGAATACTTTCGCAATGTATGTATATATATATATATATATTAGTAATTCTCTTTAGCTTGTCATTACTGTATATGTATACTTTATATACAAGTATAATAGACATTAATTATTCATGTACTGTGTGTGTGTGTGTGTATATATATATATAAAATGTATAATATAATATGTATATACAGTGGGGCAAAAAAGTATTTAGTCAGCCACCAATTGTGCAAGTTCTCCCACTTAAAAAGATGAGAGAGGCCTGTAATTTTCATCATAGGTATACCTCAACTATGAGAGACAAAATGAGAAAAAAAAATCCAGAAAATCACAAATAACAATTTAAACAAAATATAAATAAATATAAAGTGAACTCAAAATAATTATTTGTTCATGAATAATAAATTATCACTGAAATAATATTAAAGCCACCCCCCCCCTCCCAAAAAAAAACTTAAAAAAAAATACAAATACAAATAATAATATTAAAAATACATTTTATTTATTGAAAATGTAATGTCATTGTTTATTTAGTTATTTTATTTTGCTGTAAAATATGATCTGGACATTTTTTTGTGAGATTAACCCAGATTTTCAGCATAAACTTAAATATTAAGATCCATTAAAAGGATGTGAAATCAGTGAGAGGGTCTGAGTGACTGAGCAGGGCTGTGTGAGTGTTGGCCAGGGTAGGAGCAGAGCTGGTCCTCTACGGAGGGCGTGCAGCACTACCAGCCAAGCTGCTCAGACAGTGACTCAGCCATGGGTGAGAGAGAGAACACACAACCTCTTTGTAGAGCTGGAGCACCACGCAGGAGCAGAAACGGGACAAATACTCCTCAGGCACTTACTTTGAACTGCTCTCAATGGCAGACCTGCATGAGCCTAATGGGGACACCAGCTCAACACCCACAGACAGGCCAAGTGTGGTAAAATAATCATGCTGTCCTACACTAAAGTGATTGGTGGCATTTACTTTCACCATCAATTAGTTTCTCCTTGAATCAGTAATACAATATTTTGTTGGTCCAAGAAAAAAAAAACAATGTTATTAAAGATTCATATTTCAAATAAATGCTGTTCTTTTGAACTTTATATTAATCAAAAATACTGAAAAATGTATTACGGTTTCCACAACAAATATTAACTGTTTTCAACATTAAGAAATGTTTCTTGAGCACCAGATCAGCATATTAGAATGATTTCTAAAGGATCATGTGACACTGAAGACTGAATTAATGATGTTGAAAATTCAGCTTTGCATTATAGGAACAAATTACAATTAAATTGTTGTTGCTAAAGTTCTGGGTGTAATCTCACTAGCCCAAGTTTGTTTTATATTCTAATCCAGGGGTGCCCAAACTCAGTCCTGGAGGGCCGGTGTCCTGCAGAGTTTAGCTCCAACCCCAATTAAACACACCTGAACCAGCTAATCAAGCTCTTATAGGCATACTAGAAACTTACCAGCAGGTGTGTTGAGGCAAGTTGGAGCTAAACTCTGCAGGACACCGGCCCTCCAGGACCGAGTTTGGACACCCCTGTTCTAGTCCTTGGATATGTCCCTAGATATATCCCCAGATCAGTTCCCTTCTTTAGTCTAAATTCATGGCATTTTTTTGGTCAGTTTTATTGTCTTCTAGCTGAAAATCAGTAAGGAAAGTAATAAAATACATTTCCTCATCAATCCACATGATTTGAAGCATCATTCGTGTCCAGTGCAGAAACCATGCTGGATGAAATCTGCGCCAAAGTTGAATACTTTGGCTTAGGAGTTTGTTCAAATCCCAAACTTAAGTATGAGCCATAGTAATAATAGTGATGCTTGTGTTTGGAATTCGTTTGAAGCTGTTTCAACGTGCCATACAAGGTTTACAGCAAGTAAGAGCCGTTAAGGGACAGGGTGTTTAGTTCCTCTGACTCTTACCTTTGCCATCTGAGCCTGAACTCCACTGGTCTTTAGTGCCGTCACTGCTTTCTGTGCAGAGGCCGGGCTGTCGAAATCCACAAAGCCATAGCCTGAACGCACACACACAAAGGATCAGTGATTACTGCTTAGTTTAGTTGTTAAGCCAATAGCGTTCCCTATCACTCCTCTGCACCTTAGCTCACACTGGTAATCTCTCTGTCCCACATGAGAAAAGAGCTATCAGACCAAGTTAACTATACACTCTCTCTCTCACACACACACACACACACATAAATGTAATAGCATTGGTCCATTTGACAGATGTAGGGTTATGCAATACCAATCTCATTCCTGTTACATCAGCACACATTTGCTAGAGATAAAATAGATGAAGTGTATTGAAAGAGCGCTCACGGGTTAAAAGGAACAGTTCACTCAAAATGTCTTTCAAAACGTGTATCACTTTCTTTCTTCTGTGAAATGCAAAAGCAGATGTTCAGAGGAACGTCCAAGATGCTCTTATATATACAAAAATGTCCCACTGCAGTAATGTGAGTTTTGATAGGAAAATAATTTTATTTGGATTTTTCATTTTGTATTGATTTTTATTATTTTGTAAAAAATTATATGAATCAAATAATTATTAATATTTAATATCAATATAAAATAACATGAATATAACATGAAATATGTAAAAAAAAAATTATAATTTGATTGAATTAATACTTACAGAATTAATATTTAATATAAAAATAACAAAGTACTGGATAAATGCTTTATTGAAAATATCAAACTTAAAATAATTATTTATAAATAATAATTGTCATAAAATAATATGACAACCCCCACAAAAAAATAATTAAAACAATAATTAAAAAAATATTTTAAAAAGGAGATGTTTAGAAGAATGTCCAAGCTGCTCTTTTTGATACAATAAATGTGAATGGCTTTAACATTTTTTTTTTAAATATCATTTTTTCAGAGGACTTGGAATATTGGGCAGAAGTTGTATTGGAATATTTTTATGATACAACAAACTGCACGTTTAAAGTTTATTTTTTCTTGTCATTTTTGGAGTTCTTGTCATTTTAAGCAACAGAAAAGCTCATTATTTAAAGTTTCTCTTTTTCTTCAATTTTTGGTGAACTATTCCTTCAAAGCTGAAATTATACAGCACATCTTACCTTTACACTTGTTGGTGGTCTTGTCAAGAATGGCCTTAGTAGACACAATTTTTCCATAGCTGTGCAATACAAAACAAACACAAAAAGAAACATTTGGGTTAATTGAGCAGATAAACACCGTAAACAGCTTTTAAGCAGCTTAATAATGATAAATCTATCCAAACTAATAAGACTTGCTGATGTTTATCTCATATTTTATAAGGTCAAACACCGTTTAGCAGAGCCAAAGTAATCTAAGCCAGAAACAGACGAGCAGCGGAGGCACAAAACCCCATAAATGCAGGGCACCAGCGCTGCCCCATTCACAATGTACCACTCAATGGGCCCCCATATCCAGAAATCATGTGTATTAAATCTTCATGAGGGTGCCGGCGTGGAGGAGAAGCCCTGATCAAATGGTAATGCTCTTTGAATAATGGACTCCATATCATGTTCATGCTGCCTTGCATGGGAAAAGGCATTTGCACAGCATGATACAGGTATAGAGATGTAGGTTTGTGTACACGTCTGTGGTTTACTGGAGGCTTTCGGGTGTTTGAGGGACGGGGAGGGGGATGGGGATAGGTGTTCTCGATCCAGGCATGTGCTTGCAGTGTAACCTGAGAGTTCTCCTTGTCTGCCCTGCACAGCTCTGGCTGAGATCCACAACAATCAACCTCCAATGCCCTCCACCGCACACCTCATCTAGGTCCTACTGCCTGCACACAGAACCTCACGCTGATGTTCATGCCTGAACTAAACCTATATAATGTAATTTTAGTACAGATTAAAGTAATATTGGAAAATTACAGTAGTTTCAGTTTTTTATTCATTTGAACTTTAAGGGATGTTCATGCAGGACAAGGAATGGAACAAAACACAGGTGTTTTGAGACATGCTTTTAAAAGTTTTGAATTTCATAAGACATCTTCAATCACTAAGTCAAATATGTCTGCCTAGCGTATGTTTTTATTAAAAAATAAATAAAACAGCCCAGATGGCAACCCAATGCACTGCCAAAATTGTTTATTGTACAAATGTAACAAAAAACAACAACCTAAAAATGCCGTACATAATAACTTAGGCCCAACAATATGTAATACAATTATGAACATAGATGGAATAGGCAATTTGATTTGTAATGCACTGACATTTCAGCAACCAGAAATATTCAGCCAAAATGGCAAAAAAAAAAAAAGTGGTTTCAGCTGAAATAGTTTTGGATACATAATATACTTAGGCTCAACAATATGTTTAAAATATTTTAAATATATTTTAAAAAAATCAGTTTCGCCTAAAATAATATTTGACTAAATTGACTAAAATAGTTTTAGCACTTCTCTAATGACTGTTTTGACTGTGTCTGCGCCTATTTCGTGCACACAAGCCACAACATGCTGTAAGCCTATTTATTTTTCCATCTTAAATATGCATGACTGCATGGTTAATTGCATTTGATTATTTGCATTTAGTTTTGTTTTTCCCTGATGTCACTATCAGTGCAGCCCAGGGGTGAACAGACAGTTAGTCATGTGTGAGATCCAACCGAGAGTCATGGTCAAGTAAGCACTATGAGATGGGCTGCAGATATTAGTGTAGCAAAAACAATAGTACTCATATCGACCCTGTCGCAGCATTGGTAGGGCATTTAGCTCTAAAATTAGTGACAAGAAAGGGCTTTACTTCTGTAATGCTTCAGTGACTTTGATTCATTCATTCAGCAACATTCAGCACTCTACTGATTCATTCAAAACACTGATTCATTCAGGAACCAAACAAAGTGAGTCAACAAATCATTCACTCAACTGATTTAGTCAAAATTTTGGTTCCATTTGGAACTATTGTCATTGATAGATTAAAAACAGACAAAGCAACTAGCAATATTGCCTAAAATGCTAATTAATTTTAATATCTTGTATATTAAAGAAATATCATTCTCACAATCGCATTCTCGGCTGTTGGTCTAAAGTGCTGATATTCAGAACAACAGCACTCTTGCTCGTGATAATACTTAAATATATCAGAAATTGTTTTTTCACTGTTCTTGTTTGAGATATCCACAGCATTCACTTTGTAAAACAAGCTGTAGAGTTCTGAAACCATTTGGTTTGTGATCTGCTCTCTCGCTTTCTATAAAGGTAACAGGAATTACTTGACCAAACATCTCCCCCGCCAACAGCTTCTTTGCTAAGAAACACCTGATATGTTTGACTAGCTCTTATCTCTCACTCTCTCAGTCTCTTTCTCACTCTCCCCCAAATCTCTCTTTCTCTCTCACAGCTTCTCCCCACCCCCATCACCAACAACTTTTCGTCTCCTCTCCCTCCCAGCTGTTGCCCTTGTTTGTCTTTCCCTTTCCCCCTGGGCTCAGAGTTTCCTGTAGGGCTGGGCAGCCTCATCTCAGCCGTTTCGTCCAGAGAGGGCCTCGATCTCCAGTTTTATACTTCTATGTGCACATTCTTTCTACACCATCTTAAATATATGAGCAGTTTGTCCTAAAATGTAATATATATTTCAACAAAGCTTAAGAAAATACATCACATTTTTATTGGCCAAAATAAATTACATCAAACTGGGCATCGAAGACATTGAGTTGTTCACTTTTGTTTTGGCAATTTAATATACAAATTAAAAAAACATAAGCTAATACATTTCGATTTGCAATTAGTGTTATTTATTATAATGGTATTTATGTAAAATTATAGAATGTATTCATATTTTGAATTAGCTTTTATTTTCAATTTTCATTTTAGTTTAAGTTTAGAAATTAGGTGCTTTTGTCATTTTTATTATTATTATATATTTTTTATTCTATTTAGCTTGAATTTATTTTTTATATCAATTTTTGTTTTAGCCATTTTAGTACTTCAGCTTTCACTTATTTCAATTAATTGCCAAGGTAACATTTCTAAATTTCATTCAAGTTTGCTGAAGTTTTTTCATCTATTTTTTTGTGTTTCATTTTAGCTTTTTTCAATCAATCACTGAAAATAATTTTTAATAGATTTAACCGTTAAAACTGCATTGCAGTTATAGATTTATAAACACTGAAAAAAACCTTAAAAAGTTGACCTTTTAACTAAAATCAAACCATTTTAAATTTACTTACTGATGAAGGAAATCAAATCAAACCTCTAAAACAAAACCAAATAGAAATGAACGAAAGTGTTGTTAAAAGGTTAACTAGATGAAAACAACTATTTTTAAACACAAAATATTTTTTTGTGTAAATGCGTTGGGAGATCTAAGCCGAAGCCAAAATCTCTCTCTTTCTTACTTTTATCAACCCTAAAAGGAAGTGAGGTGCAGGCAGGGAAAGAGCGAGGAGGGGGAACCGTCGTGCCTAGCTGTTGGTTAACAAAAAAGAGCTTTGTTGAAACCCAAACCTCTGTTGAGTTTGTCATTACATTCCACCAAAACATCTTCTAACATGAAAGCATAGATCTGATGGTGACAAAGTGATATGAGATTTATTTCAAAAGATGAATTCCCGATGTACCAACAAAAACACGGAATGAGAACCAATACCAAGATAAAGAACGAGCACCCCTCAGGCGTCCTACCAAAATGTTATAAAATATCAAAAACGTCTCATGAATAGAAATGTATGATTTACACTGCAGCGTCCACTAAATCAAGATGCTGTATAGGCTTATCCAAAAACTCTTCATGTTGAAATGAATGTGAATTATCTGCCAGCAGTGCATTTCTAACCTCATCATAAAGGGTCAAATCAGGACGCTCAAAGTCTGAGGTTTTCTCTCCCACACACTCCTTCTGTTTTTTAATGCATTTTCTGCTCTTATTATACACCCTCTCCAACTGCTGATTATGAACCTGACCTTACTTGTCTCCGCCATTTCTGATTCTAAATTCATTTCCACGTGAAACAAGGACACTCACGGTTGACAGAGCTTGGCCAGGTCCTGGTCTGTGGTTCCTGGATGGAGACCACGGATGTACAGGTTGGTTTTGCTCAGCTGGTCTCCACCGCTGCTGCTTCCATTACTGGTGGTGGTGGTGTTGGGACTGGGTGGCGCCATCTGCTGGGTGTAGGACGCATACGCCTGCTGTCAAAACAGAGATCAGACAAAATACAATACAGTGCTATTAGACTTTTAATATAGCTATTTAATTTTCCTTTGAAATGTCCTCTGACTTATGTGGAAGGAGTTATTGTGCTGACCATTAGCGACTAGAGTCTTGCCACATGCAGAGCAAAACACTAAAATATCAAAATGATGCTGTCGCAACATGAATATAACCTTTAAAAAATTAGTTCACTATGAAATTAAAATTATGTAATTATTACTCACCCTGGTGTCATTTCAAACCCATATTCAGTTTTTTTCCCCATGGAACACAAAGGGAGATTTCCATGCAACAACAAAACAAAAAAGTGACAAAAAACACTGTGTGGAAAAACTGAACAAAATGTTCTACATTATTTGCTGTTAATTCCCTTCAAGTGAACTCAGAAGTCATTTTGACTGGACCATTGAAACAGTAACTGGCTGTGGCCTAAATCACATACTCTTCAGGTACTTAGGTACGTCTTTTGAATAAATAATTACTTTGTGACCGTTAAACAAGTATGTGTTGTTTGAATGATACATTGTCATTATCATGTGACCTATTAGCATCAGTTGTGCCACCTCACTGCCATTAACAACTCCTGTCCTGTAAAGTGTCCATCTGAAGCACACTTTGTCCGAAATAGTAGGTCATCCGGATACTTTTCACCTACTAATTTATGAATACTGTAAATTCAGACATACTGTTCTTTTCACATACTGTTTATCGCCTACTATATAGGGAAGTATGTGATTTCAGGTGCAGCCACATTCTCAAAAGAATGATCACTTCGCAAATCGGACTGATCAGTTTCTCACTGGTTCAATGATTTGGCTTTTGAGTTAAAGCTATTGTAAGGCTCAAAAAGACTTGAAATATGATCAAACTAACAGGGTATAGGTTTGGAACGACATTAAAAATGTGATTTGGTTTACAAAAACAAGCAGATTCTGAAACAGAAAATGCCTCTGATTGTTGTTGTGTCCAAAGCCTGGGGCTTTCCCTCTCCTGAGAGGTTCTGTTAGTTCTCTAATTAACTCCTCATCAGTCAGAGGGGCAGGCAAGGATGAAGTATTTCATTAGCCAAGCCTGTGAAATCAAATCTCAGACAGGGAACAATGGGCCAGTTTAATACATGCCACAAGTTCACTGGTTTGGCCTGAGATTGTTGGAAAAAGGGGAGCTGGGCACATCCAGAAGTGCTCGTACAAACGTTATGTCATATATAGGGCTCTTGTCTTTTGCTCTCCTCTGGAGCCGGGTGAACTTAGTTATAGAAGCCTGTCTAATTGAGATCTGAGCTTGTTAGCGTTGAGTGCTAATCCCTCTCGTGTGCTGGGTGCAGTCAGAAAGCACTGTCTCATTAGGACTGCTCTACTCGGCTAACTCTGCCTCTGCATGGGAAAACAGATGACTGAACCACTGCCCCCCACTAAGCCCATCTGCCCTGCAACGCTCTTCAAGGTTAGAGTAGAGCCGCACACCTAACAACACCAGTCTTCCCAACACAAACACTACATGCTAAAAATGACAAAACCCCCTAATGACATCCATCCAGACAGATGTGGTGTTCAAATCATGCCATATTATTTTCCAATTTTCACTTATCTAAAAATGTGTTACTTTAAAGTGCTAATGTGCATTTATTTTTTAAATCTTTGTGTTTAACTTTTTAGCATTTTTAGATGTAAATATTTTAAATGTAATATATATGTACTGTATAAAGAGAGAGAGAGACAGCCATAATGTTAAAGATTTTAGATGTTGCTTTTGCATTTACTGTTCATCAAAGAAGCCTGAGAATAAAATGCATCACCGTTTATATAAACAATATTACGCAGCAAAACTGTTTTCAACATTGATAATAAGAATCATATGACACTGAAGGATGGCTGCTGAAAATTCAGCTTTGTCATCACAGGAATAAATTACACTTTGAAATATATTCAAATAGAAATGTTATTTTAAATGGTTTTTAATATAATATTTTTACAGTATTTTTTATCAGATAAATGCAGCCTTGGTGAGCATAAGAGACTTATTTCAAAAACATTAAAGGGGTCATATGATGCGATTTCAAGTTTTCAGAGAGAGAGAGAGAGAGAGCGAGCCAGAGAGAGAGAGAGAGAGAGAGAGCGAGCCAGAAAGAGAGAGAGAGGGGGTCACATCACAGTGGAGTCAGCTGTCTTAACCGTGGCTTGTGTACTGCAAACACATACCAGCTTCATTACTGTGTCTGTCACGCAACTCTGTTCCCCTTTCGAGCTTGAACTGATGGTAAAACTAATGACATTATTTACTGTCTTTACATTTATTTTGAAAGATGAAGCTCACGATTATGGTAAGGGGCGTTACATTTCTGACGAGTGCTTGCGGTGTTCGGCCAATCACAATGTACTGGGTCAGCTGGCCAATCAGAGCAGACTGCGCTTGTCGGAAGGAGGGACTTTGTAGAAAATGAATCGTTTGAGAGAGGCGGGGCATAGAGGACCTACAATAATGTACAGTATTTGAAAAAGAATGTGTTTTTTGAACATTAAAGCATATCAACATATTCTGTTACACCAAATACACAAAATAATGATCTTTAAAAAAGCATCATATGACTCCTTTAAAAGATCTTTGTGATCTTTAGCAAATCTCAGTTAATACCCATTTTTTATACTGTACTTTAGAATTTTGTGTTCTTAAATCAGGGTCATTATAGTTACTGTAAGTAAAATTATAATGAAAACCATAAAAAATATTTTCATTAATTGAAATAAAATAAAAATGAACTAATAAAAACGGTTGACATAAAAAAAAACTGATAAAAATGACAAAAACATCTAAATTATTAAAACTTTAACTAAAACGAAATAGTCAAAATGGTAAAAACTATAATAGTATATAAATTATATTAAAATAACACTGATTTAAATGCCCTTGTAGCCATTAAAATTATTAATTTTAGTTGGTAGATTTATTTTTTGTTTATATCTCCAAATTTTATTGGACAGATCATGACACTAATTATCGATATCAACTAGAATTTTAATATTCAAATAAAATCCAATTTTGTTTATAAGGGTAGTAACAACAGTATCTGACCACTGTGACATACAGCCATTCTAAAATAAGCATCACAATCATTGTGTTCACAATCAAGAATGTGTTTTTTGAACATTAAAGCATGTCAACATATTCTGTTACACCAAATACACAAAATAATGATCTTTAAAAAAGCATCATATGACCCCTTTGCAGAAAATTGTGTTCCCAAACTATGCAAAAAGGTGTTTTCAAAGTTGTAAATAAAACAGACCACTACTTCAGTCTTTCTACTTCAAAATAAAAAAAAATTATAAAATGACTTGCCATTTCCTTGTAATTATTGATCAATTTATGTCAAATTCAGTGAAAAGTTGAAATGCCAATTTTAGTTTTTTCAGTGTGCACATTAAATGTACTTTAATTGGCAAGACAAGCAATGTTACAAACATATGTGCAATTGTAAAACTGGTCACTCTATGTTTGCATTCTGGGAAGAAAAAGTAGCTATGCAATTTAGTTCTGCTTAACTAAGTTTGCGTGCCATGTGTTCTCCTCCCGACTTCTCATGACCCATATGGACTCTACACAAACAACTTCCATTCATGTACATCTGTTAAAACTACAGCTTTAATTCTTGTTCATGCAAAGAATGTGATATATTAGGTGAAGACATTCCTCCGAGTCCACAACCGCGCTGACAGTAATTCACGCATCGCGATCATCCTCACTGCTCTGTTTACTTCAGATTGTGCTCAATGTATCTGAGTGCAGAACAAATCCTTGTCAACATCTACTCAATACCAGCAAACCTGCCCTTGAACATCTCAGCTGCACTATAATGAAACCCGAGAGTCCTCCCTTATTTGCACTTGAGGACAGCACTGCAGTGGAACCGGCTATAGGCCGCCTCTTCATTTCCATAGATATGCGCAGTGTGGTAATGAGAGCATGGCGGGGTTTGCACCTCTCTTGATTACTCCATTGCAGTGCCACTAGGGCAGACTCTTGGGAAGGCTTGCAGAAATAGAGGTCACAGGAGGCAGTAAGCAGCTCTGAAGGGTTAGCAGGGGATCTGGCTCTAAAGAGCTGGTACCAGGTGTGACTGTGGATGGAAATAAATGGTCTGTCTATCACTCCAACCTGCATAGGTTACAGTATTGTGATGCACTCTTTTAGTTTTGCCAGGAATATGGACGTTTAATGACCTACCAACACACATTGCAGCATAATGCAGTCTTCCATAGCAAGTGAAAATAACTTGCATGTATTTTATATACGGTTAATGTTGGAAAGGAGCTATATGCACAATGGCAATCCTTTTGTTTTTATAAAATGAATAAAACAAAGTAAAAGGTGCATTTCTGATTATTTTTAGTTTTCAATTTCTGAAAATACATAATATATATAATAAAATACAATATCATATATAGATGTCTGGGTCAATGCAATAATGTTGTGATTATTTTTACTGTGTAGTTAGTCAAATTACACTGTGGTTTGAGCAATTATATTAGAATCTAGATTTTGATTGTTTACTTTTTTTTTATTAATATTTTAAGAATATATGAATATGAGTTCTAAAACAATATATTACTATTTTTTATTTTTTTTAAATAAAAAAGCATTATTTATATTTTGTGATGGCAGTCAAATAATTGTAACTTCATTTAATAATTCTGATGTAATCAATTTCTAAAAATACGTAATATACCAAATCATATATAGATATCTGAGTCACAATGCAATAGTATTGTGATTATTTTTAAGGTGTAGTTAGTCAAAATTCTCTGTGGTGTGAGAAATAGATTAGATTAGATTTATGTTAGAGTCAGACTGTGTTTGCCTAATAATATAATACATAATGCAAAAAGGATTCGTTTTTTTTTTTTTAAAGTGTAACTAAAAATAAAATCTTTGCATGAGAATATTGAGACAATATTATTAGGTAAAATATACTTCAGAA